AGACAGACAGACAGACAGACAGACAGACGGACAGACAGACGGACAGAGAGACAGACAGACAGACAGACAGACAGACAGACGGACAGAGAGACAGACAGACAGACAGACAGACAGACAGACAGACAGACAGACAGACAGACAGACAGACAGACAGACAGACAGACAGACAGACAGACAGACGACAGACAGACAGACAGACAGACAGACAGACAGACAGACAGACAGACAGACAGACAGAGAGACAGACAGACAGACAGACAGACAGACAGACAGACAGACAGACAGACAGACAGACAGACAGACAGACAGACAGACAGACAGACAGACAGACAGACAGACAGACAGACAGACAGACAGAGACAGACAGACAGACAGACAGACAGACAGAGAGACAGACGGACAGACAGACGGACAGAGAGACAGACAGACAGACAGACAGACAGACAGACAGACAGACAGACAGACAGATAGATATCATTCCCCAAATTAAGATCAATAAAGTACTTCTTATCTTATCTTATCTTTTTCGGTCGCCATGTTTTCTTCTCTCTCTCTCTCTCTCTCTCTCTGAGTCGCGTTAAGAAGTTTCCCCGGCAACAGGAAAACCTCTCGTTGTGCACAACAATGTCAAAGACAAGAAGAAACAGGTGTGCAGGGTGTCCATCCGTTTTATTAATGTCATGAATAGATCAGATTGGATTTACTTTATTCGGAAATTCAGCGGACAAATATACCCTTAGTTTGAAGCACCTCTTTTCCCCCTCTGTCTGAAACCAGAGCTGCTCTGATTGGTTAGCTGGCCATCTCTGTTGTGACTGGTCAATCGCTTAGAGATGTCCCGCCCCCTTCGCCTACAATCACCTACAATGTGTCAAAGCGCTAGCCAATAGGAGCAGGAGTTTTCCATATTGATGTCACTGTGTTCTGGAAATGTGGGATTTTAGCCTCTGCAGACCCTTGACGTGCACAGAGAACCTACAGAACACACAAACAGCACATCAGGGTGTTCTTTACAGAGGGGGGGATGTGACAGATACTCCTGGGACAGATTTTGAAGTATATGAGTCTAACATCTAGTCAGAATGTGTCTCTCCTCCTGATATCAGACACACTGACTTCAGGAGTCACACTGCAGAGAGATATCAGCTCTTGTTTTTAGACAATGCTTCGTCTCGTTCAGTCGAACCCTCTCATTCTGAGTCGTGTCTCAGAGGAAACACATCTTTATTTATTAGGAAATCACCAACGAGCATCAGAGAACTAAAGCTTTTGAGCATGTGCGGCTTATTTTGAAACAACATCTCCTGATTCTGGTGAAATATAGTTCAGAATGAGTTCTCCTTCTAATTACAAGATGTGATTGATCTAAATATCGCTTCTTATTTCAAGACATCTCACCGAGCAGATGTTCTCTTGTTCTATCGACTGATCTTTGGATTTATTTCAAGTGAAAACAACTTGTTTTCATTATTCTTTTTGTAGCATTTTTCCCGTGTGTTCTTCGTTTTTAAGATATTTTGCGAACACCTAACGATATGCACATCTATTGTTGCTCGTCACCTTAAAGCCCTCTGTAGCTGATCTGACCTCTGACCTCATCAGGTCATCAGAACTCTGTACAGATTTCCCTTTCTGTAAAACAGCGATGGAGGTCAGCGGATGAAAGGCGCCCCTTTAACCTTTCTGCAGAACCCAATGTTTGAAACGAAGGTAATCTCCGTCTGAAAGCCTTTCCTCTCTTTGTTGCACGAGCCTCTCCTCGGCTTAGCTCGGGGGAATCCAGACTCTCTCTGAGACATGAAAGTGATGTCGGAGTACTTTGAGTCCAGCTGCATTAAACCCCCCCTCTTTTACTCTCTCAAAGAAACTCTTCCTTTCTCTCTCTCACTTTCAAAAGGAGCCCTCTGAGGGTTCCTCGTCTTGAAACCAATACATCTGACAGAAGAATGAGATTTCCAGATTAATAGCGCTTGCTTTGGCTCGCTGAGGTTCAACATTCAAAGGTTCTATGCACAAAGTGTAGGAATGGAAATGAAACTCTTCTGACCTCCAACAATGCAACATATATAATCAAAAACACTGCAAATACAAACAATCCCTTATTTAGAGAAATGAAGTTACACGTGCATTCCTCTCAGCTTCTCCCAGACCTGCTAAACCCAGCTCGTGCATGTGTTAACGAGGAAACCGCCCGTGGCTCTGGTCCAAGTCCTTTCCCCGGGATGAATGTAATAATTCGTCGCCGGGCGGTTTCTCTAAAGGCAGCGCGGCACACAGAGAGACTGACAGATGTGAGCTCCTGGATTACTGCTTTGAACTCAGTCCAACTCTCCCTCTGTTGCAGGTGCTAAAGAGATTGATATCGCCGCTACCCTGGAGCACTTGAGAGACCAGAGAGCTGGGATGGTGCAGACAAAGGTAAGGAGTTAGAGAGGAGGGAAGGAGGGAGGGAAGGAGGGAGGGAGGAAGGGAGCAGCCTTTCAAACATGTCTTTGTCGTGAAGTCGAGTGGAGATTTATGTCCTGAAATTAGCATCGAAGCACAACCTGCTGACTAACTGTTGTATTCATTATTATTTTCTGGAATCATTTGATGAAAAGGTTTTTTTTGATGTCCTGAATCTGATTTAGAGTCTGAAATATCAGGATGTTTGAAGAGCCGTCACAAACAAGAGCTCCAACCAGAGGCTTTTAGGCATTCTTCTAGTGTGTTGTTCACATGTGGGACCCTGTGGTGCTGATGGGGTCAAACTACCCTAAACATGATCCATCCTTTACAAATACCCTCTTTATTCCCAACAATATGACAGGTGGGATTACTTTTTACAAATCACTTAAAGCTCAAGATAGATTTATGTAAAAAGAAAATCCACTATAATAACACGTGGGTTTTCATTTTGAATGGAGAGCAAATACGGCTCTGGAGTTTCAGGTGAAAGAAATCCTTCTATNCAACGTAATCGAAATAAACCGATTTTTTAAAAATTATTATTACTTTTTTTTTTTTTTATAAATAATTTTATTTATTTTTTTGTTTTTCAGTTGAATATAATTCAACTGAAAAACAAAAAAATAAATAAAATTATTTATAAAAAAAAAAAAAAGTAATAATAATTTTTAAAAAATCGGTTTATTTCGATTACGTTGTTTTCGTAATCGTTGCAAGTCATAATCGTAATCGAGATTAAAATATGATTAATTGAGCAGCCCTACAATAAAGCCATACTAGTTACGTACATACTTATAGAAGTTTACACATTTTTGTTTGTATTTAACATATTAATGTAATCATGTATAAATGTGTTTTATTTAGCAACTGATTTGGGCAATTTTTTTTATTTGCCTGAGCTTTGGATCAAACGTTGGTATAGTTGCAAAATAACTCAGAATACTGAAGAAACGAAGAGAAACACACTCTTCATCTCCTCCTGCTGTCACATTCATGACATTACATTAAGGTTGAATTCTGCCTATTTGAACATTGATTAAAGAATCACTTGTTTCACCTCCTGAGTGTGTGTGTGTGAATTAGCTCTGAAAGACTGATGTGTGTAGAGAGAATCAGTTTCTCGTGGCTGAGCTCTAAAAATGTACCGACTGCAAAGGTCTGTGGCTGACGGATGATTATATCAGCAGCCTGCAACTCTTTCAGTCTTATTTTTTGACTTCCTCTTCCCCTCTCTGTTTTGTCGCAGCAGACAGGAAGTGCCACAGGTACATGACACACTTGATTGACGTTGTGACTCAAATGTCCTGCGCACACTTGCTGTGAGGCTGCAAGCTTTCTGCAGTCTTGTTTTGTCTGGGCTTATGTTCTTTATTTGAATTTCCTCTGGACTAGTTTGTATTCTGTAGATTGATTGAATAGCTTTTATACTGTAGACAGCTTGTGCCGTAATTAAACGAGGCACTTTCAGTCCCATATAGAGCTGTTTATAACTGAATTGATGGCTTAATTAAAAGACACTGAACGTCTCAAGACAAGCATTCTTGTCTCACAGCTGCACAAGCAAGCTGCAGAGTCCCACTGAGAACAAGTAGAACCAGAAACACACTGACAAACACTACCCAGCATGACGGCTTCTTTTGTTTGTTTTGTGTGAGAGAAATATTCATTCTCATCATCTGTTATTTCTAATCTTCCAATTCGTCGCTTAGAGGAGACAAGGAGACATGGATCCGGTCAAAGTACGTTGATAAGAAGTTCATCCAAAAGCTGCCCGAGACCGGCAGGCCGGCCCTGCAGCGGAGGAACCGAGCGCTCACTCAGGAGAGGAACACACAGCGGCCGCCGCTCAAACCCAAGCCGAACCGAGCCACGCTGCCTCGTCTCCCAGGTAAACACAGTCAGGACTGACGGGTGGAAACCAGCGGGCTTTAGGGGGTCTAACAACCCAGCTGGCTGCTTGTTGTCCAACGCATCTCTCTTTAAACCCTGCTGATGTCAACCAAACACAAACACACAATCCCCAAAGTTGGTGAACCAGCAGAAGTTGGTAATCCTAAAGGCTGCTGTATTGTGTGTGTGTGTGTGTGTGTGTGTGTGTGTGTGTGTGTGTGTGTGTGTGTGTGTGTGTGTGTGTGTGTGTGTGTGTGTGTGTGTGTGTGTGTGTGCTAATCCTGCCTCTATCTCTATCCTTTCCTCAGGACTGAGCCCCAGCCCCACTGACCTTGTCCAGAAGAACGATACACAAAAAGGTGAGATAAAACACGAACGCACACTGATGCAACATTATGTGGCGTCTACAGGAAGAGGAAGAAACAGTTTCAAAACCTAACGTTCGCTCTGATAAAACTAAAAGTTGAACCTTTGCTCACTTCAGAAGTGGAGGAGGAAGAGGAGGATCTGAGCGGGCTGCACCCCGGGGCGCTGCTGTATCGATCAGCAGCTCTGCAGAACTTCCCTGTCATGGCCGACGCTCTGGCCCACGGAGCCAACGTCAACTGGGTCAACGTGACCGAGGAGTCCAGCACGCCTCTGATCCAGGCCGTCTCTGCGGTGAGGAGGGCATGTTGTTACGTTTGACAACATCCAGAGAAAACGTTTCTTTAGCTGCACTCGGCTAGCTGGCTTTCCATGCATCATTTTGCAGCCTTTAGGGCACATTCACCGCTAATCTGTAGAACGAGGTGATAGTTCAGAGACCATGATGTAAGTTGTGTGTTGGTTAAAAATACAATTTTTGTTTTCTTACCAGAATGCCCTGGCAGCCTGCGAGTTCCTGCTGCAGAACGGAGCGAACGTCAACCAGGCAGACAGCAACGGGAGAGGACCGCTGCACCACGCCACCATCCTGGGTCACACTGGGTAGGACACACACACACACACACACACACACACACACACACACACACACACACACACACACACACACACACACGACGACACG